CGATGAATCGCCCGGGATGCGAATCGATCGCGGTCGCGACGTAGGTATGGTCGAACCCTAAATTTATCGGCTGCACGATTAGCGCGGCGCGCACGGCGTTGGCGTTCATGATTTCAATCAACTCATCACTCGACCCGGGACACGGCGGTGTTTTGCCGTCGTCGTACGCGTGCGTCTTTTCCGACGGCCAGACGTGGACATGAGCGTCGATGGCGTTCGTACGCATGGCGCGAGCGAGCGCACGGGAGGCGGAGGGGTGGAAAGGGCGCGGGCGCACGCGCGGGACGCGCGCGAGCATGGTTGTGCAGTTAAGACGGAGCGCGGAGCGTTGACGGTGCATCACGCGGGCGGTGCGTCGCAACATCCATCAGTGTTACGATGGGTGACAATTACTAGGTTTAGAGTCTAACGTTGGTCACGACGCGCAGTCGTGACGAGATATCAACAGTCCCAAGGCCTCAGAGAAGAGCTCTGGCTACTAGTCACTGGTAAATGAACGGAACCGTCGTCCAGAGTCATGTGGAAAAATGTCATGAAAAGTGGACAAGCAGGACCCGGATAATTCGGTTTACAATCAATCTCCATCGTCCTCGTCTGCGTCGGCATCCTCGCCGTACAAATCCTCGTCCTGATCCCCGCTCTTATCGAAGATTTGTTCCAGGGAGTTGACGACATCAGCATTGGTCTCCATGAGGAAGAAGAGGTCATCCAAGAGGGCCTGCCGGGTCTCTTCCTCCGTTTCGAACTCCCGCGCCGGGAGCTCTTCGAGCTCGATGACTTCATTTATTTCGAGATCGACGTATGCCTGCTTGAGCGCTTTGAGTTCGTCCTCGCTCACCACGGATGTCACCACTCCGGGAGTTGTAGATCCGAGACGACCGCATCGACCGGCCCGATGTAAATAGCTACTAGTAGACGGGGCGTCGAGGCTGTATATGTACTGAATATTCGGCATATCCAACCCGCGCTCGCTTTCTGCCGTGCAAACTAAGATGCTCGCCTTATTATCCTTGAAATCTTGCACCACTCGGAGCGCCTCGATGCCCTCCGGGAGGAGCATCAAAAGCTTGTGTTCGCCCCAGAGCGCCTTTCGGACCGGAGCGGCGGTGACTCTCGCAGCCTCGCTGTTCGGAACGAATATAAACGTACGCGGGGGTGGAGAATCTTGACCTGCCTCCTCGAGATCCTTGCGAAGCTGGCGAGTGAGCGCGATGAGCTTGCGCGCTCTGTCCTTCACGACAATCATTCGATGCGAAATACCAGGAGGAACCCTCAATCCTCCCCCGGTTGTGATCCAAATCGGATCTTTCATGAGCTTCTGTTCCGTGCAACTCTTCACTAATTCTTTCGACAGCGCTACCCCACTCAGGCATACGCACCGATCGTCCATCACGGGCTCGTACGGGGACGGCTTCAGGAGCTCTGCCATTGCTTCCGGGTGTTTCTCAAAAAGTACATCCGCCTCGTCCGCGATGAGAAACTGCGCCAGATCCACCTCAAGATCGCCTTGAAGTTTGAGAAACCGTAATTCCTCGGGCGTTCCCACGACGATCTCCGCGACGGCAATATCTGGATCGGGGTTCCTCACGTGCTTCTCCATGTCGAAGACGCCTCTCACCTTGACCCCACGCGGGCCGATGTATCGATACATGTTCGCCGTGTCCCCGGGTCGAGCCTTACTCACATTCCCACCGAGGATCCGCCATATCAACATGCAATTCTGAACCACCAGCTCTCGCGTCGGGACGATCACCACCATCTGCAGCATTCCCCGTCCGACAAAGTTCAACCCGTCGACGCTCGGCATCAGGTACGCGAGCGTCTTCCCGCTTCCCGTCTGACTCGATATCACGATATCGTTCACCGTCATCATCGCCAACGCCGCTCGCCGCTGTATCGCCGTCGGATACCTGAACCCTAGATCCTCCGCTCGACTCGCGATCCAGTTCGCCAAGCCGAGCGAGCGCCAGTCCAAGAGTTGCTCTCGCGCATCCGTCATCCCTTGCAGCGCCTTCAACTTTTCGCTCGCCTTACCCGCGAGCTCGTAATCCTCCACAAATATCGCACGATTGAGCATCGTCGTCAACGCGTTCTCATCCTCGGTCGCCTCGACGTCAGCGAGCGAGAACGCGGGAGAATCCCCCGCCCCGGACGGTCCCGCGCCCGCCTCCTCACCGCCCTCGTCCTCGCCCCTGGGCGCGTACGACGCCCTCGCGCGCGCGTCGCGGCGATCCCGCGGCGCACCGCGGTCGACTCGACGTCCCGACGCGCGCGCGAGCGCGAACGCGCGCGCGCCCGCGTCGAGGGCCACCCGCGACATCGTCTCGCGTCGCCCCGACGCGTCGACGTCGCTCGATCGGCGTCGGCGGTCGGGGTCGATCGGTGCGATCGGTGGACACGGGTTCGATGTCGAAAGGGGACGAAACGCACGCGAGGACGGTCGAGGACGCGGCCGCGCGCGCGGTCGCCGAGCGCATCGATCGACGACGTCTTCGATGACCTTTTCGATGACCCTCTTGATGACCCTTTCGATGACCCTTTCGATGACCCTTTCGAGCACCCTTTCGATGACCCTCTTGATGACCCTTTCGATGACCCTTTCGATGACACCCTTTCAATGACCCTTTCGATGACCCTTTCGATGACCCTTTCGATGACCCTTTCGATGACCCTCATGATGGCCCTTTCAGTGACGCTTTCGATGACCATTTCGATGACTATTTCGATGACCCTTTCGATGACCGTTTCGATGACCCTCGTGATGACCCTTTCGATGACCCTTTCGATGACCCTTTCGGCGCGATGGGCCGATCGAGTCCCATGGACCGATACTAGTACCACCGGTCGATGTTGGCCTTTTCGTTCCGATCGGTGCTCCATCGGTGGGGTGTCTCGATCAGTGTACGTTTCGAACGATCGCATCGCACCTATCGAAGCGCCGATCGAGCGGAAAGGGAAGATCGGTGAAGACCGATCGACGCCGCGCTTTTTATTTCCTGGAAACGCGCGCGCGGAGACGTTCGTCGACGCCGCGCGCGATGCGGTCGACCTCAGGACTGGCGCGCGCGATCACGAGCGTGGAAACGAGTCATCTCTCGGGCGCTGTCGAGAAACCGAGGGACGATGCGCGGCCGCGCACGGTGGGACGTCGTCAATGCGGCGAAATCGTGGGTCGTTGTCTCTGCGCGCGATTTCGTCACCCTCGAGCGCCCTCGCGCGTCTCCGTTGCGGCTTTCGACCCGTCGACCGCGATTGATATGGTGAAGGCATTCGCTATGAAGCCATCGCCGGGATTGACGGCCGCCACGGTGGCGAACACATCGGTGTTCATCGGTGGATTCAGCGTGCTTCGACTTGGATTGACGCTCGCGGGTGTCGCGCACTCGTGGTTCCTGGGCACGGTGCGTCGAAAACGACGCGTTTTCGACGAATAATTACATCCTGGTGTTCTTCGCGGTCGTTCGATTCGGATTTGGGAGGTGATGACAGAATACAGATACTTCTGAGCGCGCGCAACGCGTGTCGACATCGTTGGCCCAGCGACGGCCGCTCCGTGAGCGAGTATGGACATAAGTTTTCAATCTGATCCCAGATCGATCGAGTCGACGGCGAAGAGGCGCGGTGTTGTATATTTCTCACGACTAACTCGCTTCTCGCGCGCCCAAGTAGGTTGTCATGGCGGCGTTTGGGCTCGGCGGGTACGTTCTTGTGTGCGCGTACTTCATCGTTGGCAGCGCGGTGACCAAAGTTCGACTGAAGCAGAAGCAAGCGGAGGGAATTGCGGAGGCAAGAGGGGGACTACGGGGACCAGGGAGTGTGTGGGGAAGTGGGGCGGCGGGTATCTTGTGTGCTATCGCCGCCGTGTCTGGGCTGACACCAGTGTCAGCTGACCTGTGGCAGCTTGGATTTGTCGCCAGCTTTTGTAGCAAACTTAGCGACACCACTGCTAGTGAGATCGGTAAGGCGTACGGCAAAACGACGTATATGAGCACTCCACCGTTCAAACTCGTTCCCAGAGGCACGGAGGGGGCCGTGAGCGTGGAAGGTACGCTTGCTGGGATTGGGATGTCGGGTCTTTTTGCGGCGCTGAGCGTTGTCGTCGGTCAGCTCCCCAACATCGGGTCGGTAGGCGTGTGCATTTTTGCAGCTTTCGTCGCGAACACGTTCGAGAGCATGCTCGGAGCCGCGGTACAAGGAAAAGAAGGGTACGATTGGCTCACGAATGACATCGTGAACGGAATACAGATCACTGTCGCCGCGTTTGTCGCGATAGCGATAGGATCGATTGCTCGACTGTAAATCGACCCGTTAGTATGGTTTACAATCTAGACTTAAGTTTCGTGTCCAGCGGACCCTGGGCCAGCGTTCGTCCCTGAATTGCGCAGTTCTCCAAGTAAGGACACGGTTGGTAAAGTCCACCGTATCGGGTCGCCCAAGTTCTGAGCTTTGTTGCGATGACGGCGGCTCCGACGGAGTCGCCCCAGTGAACGATGCCTCCTCGGAATGCGGGGAAACCCATACCTAAGATGGATGCCGTGTCGATATCGCCAGCCTTCACGACGATACCTTCGTCTAAAACTCTACAAGCCTCGTTGACAACGGGGAAGAAGATCATCTCGGCGATCTCTTGCGGGGTCAACCCGTTCGGGATTGAAGAACCATCAAGAGGGAGTCGGGTCTGAGCCCGAGAGGCCGCAATGAGACCCTCAACGCCCTCGGGATCCGGGGTAGCCCGACGCTTGTTATCGTACTTGTAGAACCCAGCCCCACTCTTCTCACCAAGTCTTTTACTCGCGAGAAGAGAAGGGATGAGGGGAGATTGATAGACTCTATCTGGGAAATCGTCGATGAAATTTTTCCCGACATGAACACCCACATCGTGTCCGACCAAGTCACCGAGTCTGAACGGTCCCATGGGCATGCCAAACATCATAATTGCACGGTCGATGGCGTATGGATCGCACCCAATGTCCACCAGAGCAGTGGCGCTCATCGTGTAAGGGAAGAACACGCGGTTCACTGCGAAACCGGTACAATTGCCGACAACGACAGGAGTCTTCCTGATTTGCTTGCTCAGTCCCAATGTGTCGACCAAAATTTGCGACGGTGTGTCTTTCGTGCGAATAATCTCGAAAAGTTGCATGACGTGCGCCGGAGAAAAGAAGTGAGCGCCGACGATACGTTCCGGATTCTTCATCTTGGTGGCGATCTTTGTGATGTCGATTGTGCTCGTGTTCGTGCTCAGAATGCAGTCGGGCCTGCAAATCTTCTCCAAGTTGCAGAATATCTTCTGCTTAAGGTCCAAGTTCTCGATGACAGCTTCGATGACCATGTCACATTGACGGAAGTCGTCATCCGAGAGGGTCGGCTTGACGAGGGACATGAGCTTCCGAGCCTTGTCTTCAGTCATCCGTCCTTTTCGAACCATACTCGCCAAGTTGGACTGGATACGCCCAACGCCAGCGTCGAGGAACTCTTGCTTGATTTCCTTCAGAACGACTCCGATACCAGCGAGTAAGCAAGCGGTGGCGATTCCACTTCCCATCAATCCTCCTCCCACAACGCCGACAGATTTCATCACTCGAGGCTTGAGACCGCCATCTGTCACTCCAGGTACGATGTTCGTTGCACGCTGAGCGAAGAAGAAGTGCACTAAACCCTTCGCAGCCGGAGAAGACACCGCCTTCTTAAAGTTCACGGCCTCGCGTTGCAATCCCGCCTCCGGTCCTTCGGTGATCCCGACTGCGACGGCATCCACACAGAGGGCCACGTGAGGCATCACAGACTGAACATGTTTTGCCTTCTTCCCGGCCTCTTTCAGAATCGCCTGCGCTGTTTTCGGATCCGGAAGTTTATCTTTCCGATACATGGAGAGTTCTCGCTTCGTTGAGCCGCTCGCAATCGACTTGGCGAGCTCGCACGCCGCGTTCACTGCGTTCGCCGGGTCGACGATTTTATCAACCAAACCAAGTTTGAGCGCCTCCTCCGCCTTGATCGACTTGCTCTTGAGCATCATCTCTAGCGATTTCTCCAATCCGACCAGTCTTGGCAATCGTTGCGTTCCCCCGAACCCAGGAATGACCCCCAACTGAAGCTCCGGAAGCCCCAACTGCGCCCCCGGGGTCGCCACCCGCGCCGCGCACGACATGGCGACCTCCAATCCGCCACCCAACGCCAAGTTTTCGATCGCCGCCACGCACGGTTTCGCCCCACCTTCCGCCAAGGTGCACAAAATTGCGTTAAATTCTCCAACATCGCTCGCAGGCGCCCCCTGGGTCGATTTTCGCAGGTGACCGATGTCGAATCCGCCGCTAAACTTGCCGCCGGCGCCTTTAATCACGATCGCCTTCACCCGTCCATCGCCCTGCGCCTCTTTCAGCGCCTTCTCCAGCCCCTCGAGCACGGGCAGAGCGAGCGCATTCACTGGTGGGTTCGACATCTCGATGACGCACACGCCGTCGCGCACGGAGGACGTGACGCCGGGCATGATTGTTCGTTGGTTGGTTGACCTCGCGGAAATTCCGAATTCAGTTTCTTTGTCGTCCGTGCGCGACGTCCCGCACGCGCGGTTCACGCGGTGGAATCGATGAAGGAGTCGGCGAGCGTTTGTGCGCGCAAGAGACGTTCGAACGCGCGGGACGAACGAAGGGGGTCGACGTGTGGGGGACGATCAAGTGGTGACGAGACAGTTGGACGGGGACGGCGCCAGCGAGCGACGGGAGGAGGGGAAGGCGACATCGAGTTCCGTGAACCAAATGAGGTGCGGATGGAGCGGTAGCGCGATCGAAGTATATAGATTACGATCGGTGCGACCGCTCGGGGTGCGGCGATGGATGACTGACGGTGTGGAATCACACGGCGTCGGCGACGTCGGGCGAAGCCGGTGCCTCGTCGGACCGTCGAGAGCTCTCGTCGAGGAGCTCAGCGTGCTTCTTGCGGAGCGACGACACGAGGGTCTTCTCGCGATAAGAACCTATCGCGTGAGAGTCGTCCCTCGTGGTCTCGCGCTCGCGACGGTCGTTGTCCACGAGTCTTCGATTGAGGGCTCGCCTGACGTAGAGCGTGACGCCGCTGAATAGGATGCCCATGAAGCATAGAGCGGGACAGATGTACGTCCACGTCGCAACGAGGAGCTCGATGTGGGTGACGGTGTCCTTGATGGAGTCGTACACGTCGTCTCCGACGTCGTACTCGAGACTGGTCCACGAGATTGGGACGTAGAAATGGTCTCCCATCGCGGCGCCAGACCAGAGAGTGGTGAAGAAGAGGTCCGTGCGGTCAATCTTGAAGTTTTGTTGGATGGGGACCCGCATGCCGAACGTATTCCCGGTGTGCTCATAGATAGAGAACTCAATGTCGTGTTTCGCCGGGTTTGGCGAGAACGGAGAAGCACTCGACGTCGGATCGACGTACCCGCCGAAAAGGCGTGGGTCCGCTCGATGTCCGTGAGGGAGAGTGTACACGCTCGGAACGAGCTCGAAACCACTCACGTTGAATATCCCGTAGAAGTTGGCATTGCGTCCGCACGCGGTCTGATTCACTGGGCACGACATAAATTCCTCATGGGCGACACCGAAGATCTCGACAGAGACCTTGTCATTCTTCTGGACAGCTCGGCCAGGGCGATGACGAAGCGTCAACGAGCGCTTGAGATCAAGTCCCATGCCGAAATCAGCCCAAGCCTTTACGTCGACCGAAACCCCAGTTTTCTTAATATCGTGATACTGCCCGGTTGCTATGTCCTTACCGAGAACGCTTTCAACGTGACCGGTGTGAGGATAGATCACCGGGCCTGAGCCGTCGGAACGACTCAAAATTTTTGTCGCGTCGCGCGGAGCGCCCACGCCGGTGGCGACGTGATAAGGAGTCGATCCATAACTGTGAGCCCAGGTGCTTGTATCTGTCAAGTTCCACGGGACATGATCGTTATGGATCGTGCGTGCGTCTCGAATCTTCGTCACAGAGCGAATGATTCTTCGGGGGTCTCCAGCGGGATATGTCGGCGACACGACGGGATCTTCGTATCCAAAGATCCACTCTTGTACGGTACGCTTGATCAAAATTCCGCTCGAATTCGCACCCAATGTTGGCCCGAGCATCGCAGTGAACGCATCTTTTCCGTATGTCGTCATGGCGTGCTGCAGAAATCCTTGCCAAAGTTGGGCTTGAAATGGAGGAATTGAAAGCGACGCGGCGAGTGATGTGGAACTCGCGGCCAATGTCCCAGCGGCCGTCTCACCTGTGTCGTCATTCACGACGGAAACATACATCGCGGTAGACGTCGGGGTCGGAATAGAGACTGAAGATACTGGGAGTGAGGCGCTAGCAGCGGCCCACGACGCGTACTCTGGGACGTAAGGGAAGCCGGTGAGGAGAGATGGTGGGACACCGATGGCAGTCAGCTCGGTGACAGACATACCACCCAGAGGACTCAGGGTGAACATCTGCTCCAAAGCCAACGCTTGAAGCGCGGTGACGCCTCCTTGAGCAGCGACGACGAGGTTTGGGAACGCGGCACTAAGGGTTGGGTCGTTCGCCATCCCACCGAAGAGCTGGGCAATCCCGGCTACCAATCCTGAGAGCGTCTTCGGCAAGGACAACGCGAGGATATTTGTCTCGCTCCCCACGGTCTTCACCATTCCAACGTACGCGAGATTGAAAGACACGATCTGGACGAAAAAAGTTAAATCGTCGACAAGTCCGCATAGTTCGATAGATTCGTACCTCGTCACTCAATGCGCATCCCGGGCAGAAACTTCCGGTATCTGGCTGAGCATACAGCGTAGAGACAAACGACACCTCCGATTCATCGCTAGAGAACGTGATGTTCTGGCGCTTGTTCACAGTGTTCGTCAGGACGTACGGTCCGACTTCGTCGAGATTTGGAGCATGGGTACCGGCAAGAACTTGGCTCGGGTTTGTAACGTTCCAGAAATAAACATACGTGTTGAGATGGTTATCGCAGGTGGTCGTCTTGGATGCCCAGCACTTGTCTCCCCGAACGATCTTGTAATCCGAGGTGGTGCTAAGAGCGGGAACGTAGACAAACGCCAAGGGAAGGCTGATAATGAGAAGTAAGATCGACGCAGCTAGAACAATCTGTCGATAGAGTGAGTATTGGCTCGGGTTGGTCAAAAAATGAAGAGACGCACCTGAAAGAAATAGTTCTTCGTGCTCGAGTCGACGCCGCCATACGTGGTCAGCACCTTGGTCGGTGCCGTACTCGTTTCATCGACCTCGATTTTCTCCAAGGAGTCGTACTCGGACGTCATCGAGTCGCGGTCTGAGGCTTCTATTATTGGCTCACGCGAGGGTGTGTTCTTTGTCGAATGTAAACTCTTTCAATTGTTACATGTCACTTCAAATGTCATTATCAGTCCTGGTTCGCGCGCGAATCGTCCGGTTTGGCGAATACCGTAGGCGTGTCTAAATCTGTCATTAGTCCCCAGCCGTACACGAGGGTCAAGAGCAATCCCCAGAAGATGACGACGCCCGTTATGACCTGGACTTGAGTCTCGCACAAGAAACCGCACTCCTGGTCGCTGGAGGCATCGGACGCGAGAAGCGAGCGACCTGTCGAGGGTCGTGATGTGGCACCAGCTCTAATGGACTCCTCGTCGAAAAGAATTCCGACCGCAGGCACGCCGGCGCGCTCAATCGTTTCCAAATCTTTGGCGAACGCTTCCGCCGCGTTTTGAGGAGTCCTGTCTTCATCTCCACACGTCATCACCACCCCTCGCAGCGTCCCCTCCTTCGTCCCTGCGCGCTCTCGAAGGTACGCCGCCAAAGGTTCGGCGTCGAACACCACGTTTTCGCCCTCCTTCATCCCGCTCAGCGCGAGCTCGCGCTCGCACTCGGGTCCCACGAAAGCCCGTCGCCCACTCGCCGCGATCGCTTTCGCCGCCCCTCTTCCACCGCGGCCGTTCGGGGCGAACATCCACACGCGCATTGCACTTTCATCAACTCCACCATCGACGACATCACTCCCTCGAATCCGTCGCATCGCTCGTCCGAACCCGTCTCCGCCCAAACTGCCGCGCGCCCGCGCGGCGAGCGTCAACTCCGCACCCGCCTCGTCCGTCCTCGACGCGCTCGAAGTCACACCCAGCGCACGCGCGAGTACGTCGTCCGCGTCCACGTCCGCGTACGTCACGCCCACGTTCGAGCGCGCGTCGCGCGAAGAGAGTTCTCTCTCTTTGAGATCATCGCTCAGTGTCTGTTTGATTCCTACACGCTCGCGCGCGCGCACCTCCACGAGCGCCGCGCGCGCGCCCGCGACCGCGCCGAAGACGCCCACGACGCCGAGCGCGATCGCGGGCGCGTCGCGACGCGCGCGCCGACGCGTCATGCTCGCGAGTGGATTTCTGGCGTCAGTTCGATGCGCTTCGCGCCTTCGCTTCGCTCAACCTCGTCGCGCGCGGTGGCCCCGGGCCCGGTGCGACGCGCTCGTTCGAAAGAACCCACGCGCGCGCGCGCGGGCACGGCCACCAGGGCGATGGCGAGCGAAGAACGAACGAGCGCGTTGAGGATTCGTTGCGCGCACTGCGATGCCGTGTTCGACGAGCGGGCGCTCCCGTACGACGCCGACGTCGACTCTCTCGCGTCTTCGGCGCTCAGAGAGAAGTTTGTTCGATTGTCTCTAGATTCCGAGAGCGTGGAGTTCCTGAACAGAGCGCGAGCGCGGGGACGGGACGAGTGCGAGCGGTTGGCGAGAAAGTGCACCGAGCTGCGGCGGACGATGTCGTTGACGGAGGCGAACGCGATCTTAGGGCGAGGGAAGATGTTCGTGTTCAGTGATGCGCACGTGGAGACGTTGATGCGGGCGTGCGGGGAGGGTGCGGGTGGAGGATGGTTCTTGGACGTCGGCGCGGGCGAGGGCGAGGTCACGCGGACGCTGGCGAGGAGGTTCGCGGGGACGTGCGCGACGGAGAGCTCGCCCGGGATGGCGTCAAGGTTGAGAGAAAAGGGTTTCGACGTGGTTTTGGAGAGCGACACGGTGGAGAACGTGGTACGCGAGACGAGGGCGCGAGGTGGGGATGTGAGCGAGGACGGTTTCGACGTCGTCGCGGCGCTCAACCTGTGCGATAGGGTGCGATCGCCGAGAGCGTTGTTGAGGGATTTAAAACGGGCTTTGAAGGCAAAGACGGGGATATTAATCCTCGCCATAGTCGTCCCATTTCGTCCCTTTGTCGAGAACGCCGATGGGACGAGGTCTCAACCCGACGAGCGTCTCGACGTCCCGAGCGCCGGTTCCTGGGAATCCGGCGTCGACGCGCTCTGGACCGAGCTCATCGCACCGCTCGGCTTCGACCTCGTCACCTTATCCCGAGTTCCCTACATATCAGAGGGCGATCATCTGTACGACGCCTACGTCCTCGACGACGCCGTCTTCGTCCTTCGCGCGCCGCCGTGACCCGTCCGGTTACGTTTCTAACTAGATTGTGATTATTCTCATTCATTCACCCCTCGTCCCTCACTCCGCGTCTCGCGAGCCATCAAGCCCGTCGACGACGACGCAGTAGAGGGCACACACGCGCAATGCGAGTCATCACGCCGCCCTCGACGCGCGAGTTACGCGCGAGCGTTCGAAGACAAGTCGTGGACCAGAGAGTCTCTTTGGACGTCTATTTTCGAACAGCCGAGCACGTGTACACGCAGGTGGGGCTCGGATGTCGCGCGCGATGACGCCGGTGTCGGGTCGCGTCATCGACTGGGGTAGTCGGTTCGTTCGCGGACCCGGTGCGCGGACGCTGAGGGAGACATTTGGATGAATTCTGAGTTCGCGGCGAGCGACCGGGACGCGACCGTGACGGGCGACTCGGCTCGGAAAGTACGGACGGCCACGTCGAACGGGACACTGACGACAACGAAACGGTTACGATCGATCGCGCGCAGGCAAAGATTTATAGGGCGGAGGAGAACTTACCGCAGTTGTATCGGTTGCTCTACGCGTACGCGTCTGTAGTGCTGGATACGATGGCGGAGCACGGGGAGTGGGAGGACCGGCGACACGGCGAGAGGGTGCGACGAGAAAAGACGCGGTGCGAGGAGGCGCTGAGAGAGATGGAAGTGTTGAAACCGATGATCGATACCGAGGCGGAGGCGTATCGGGCGCGAGCGACGGCGGTGGCAAGTTCGGCAGAGGCGCAGAAAGTCCGAGTGGCGGCGGCGGTGGAGGGACGCGTAGAGACCGAGCGGAACGCAGGCGCGTCGACGGGGACGAAGACGTCCACTCGTGTGTCGTTGGGTACGGGCATGATCAGCGACGCGGCGGGGTCGAGACACTCGCTCTTCGGGGCGAACTTGCCGAGCGCGAGTGCGACGGAGTTGGCGGCTCGATTGGCGGCGGCGCATCCAACCGGCAAGACAAACGCGAGTTCGGTCGGAGAGGCGGCGCCGTCAGCACCGGGGGTACCGTCGACGAGGCATGCGCACTCGCTTCTTCCTCCACCGCCACCGCCGCCGCCGAATGAGGACGGCGTGCCGTTCCCAGAGGGCATCATGTACAACGCCTCGAGCGTGGATTTTCAGCCCAAAGTTGTCGTGCAGGTTCCGTCCACGGACGAGGCGGCGACCGATCACACGCGTCTCGACACTCGACTAAAACTCTATAATCTCCGCGAAAAGGTCGTACGAGGCGATGGGAACTGTCAGTTCCGAGCCATTGCCGATCAACTCTTCCGCGACCAGGAGCGACACGCCGAGTGTCGCGTCGTCGTCATCAACCAACTTCGGCGAAGAGCCGAGGACTACTCGCCCTACGTTCCCGAGGATTACGATGCCTACGTCGAGGCGATGCGCAAAGACGGGTGTTGGGGTGACCACATCACCCTACAGGCCGCCGCCGACGCCTACGGCGTCCGCATGTGCGTAATCTCTTCCTACAAGGACAACTTCATCGTCGAGATTCAACCGCGGGAGCAGCGCTCGTCCCGCGTGTGCTGGATCTCCTTCTGGGCCGAGGTGCACTACAACTCCCTGTACGGAATCTAGCGATAGAAACTTAAAATCAATAGATACCGCGGCGTTTCTCTCTTCCACTGGTATCGGATCATCGTACAGTCACGCACCGCGTCCGCGACGCGTGGAAACCGTCCCCCAATTGTGGATGCGTGACACCGAAAACGCCCCCGCACCCGCCGCACTCGCGCGCGCGCCCGAGTACTTTCAACTTTGTAGTATTGCAACATCACTGTCCGCGTCCTGCTCGGCGCGCGCTCGGGCGCGCGACCCCTCGCGATGTAGTCTACATAGTGTACGCATACGTCGACCATCGCCGACGCACGCGCGCGGGACACCGTCGAGCGAGATCGCGTACACGAAGGTCACAGTACGACACAAAAGCACGCATACGTGCCGACGCGACCGCCCCGCGCGACGGCGACGTCATCCACGCCGACGCCGACGCCGTCGGGCGCGACGTCCGGGCGCGCCGCGCGCGATGACGCACGAGACGTGTAAATTCTTCCTCGTCGGTGCCTGTCGCAACGGCGCGCGGTGTCGGTTCGCCCACGACGACGGAGGGTCGGACGTCGCGAGCGCGCGCGTGGACGGTGGGCATTCTCGCGAGCGGTGTAAATTCTTCGCGAGCGCGAACGGGTGCACGTTCGGTGATCGGTGTCGATACGCGCACGACGATGGGCGTGGGAACGATCGGGGGGGGGGGATGCGAGCGAACGCGGCGGCGTACGCGCCGATGGGGGGGATCGGGACCGCGGGGGGGACGACGGGTTGGCGCGGCGGGCGCGGCGCGGGACGGGACGGGGCGAACGCGGGACCGATGGACGACGGAGAGGAGGAGTGGGGGTACGTGGACGAACACGGGAACTGGGTGTCGTTTGATGACGAAGGTGACGGGGCGCGGGAGTTTTTGGCGGCGCAGTTACCGGATGAGGATGATCTCTTGGGACTCACGAGCGAGACGCCGGGGGAGCCGGATGGGGGCGACGCGTGGGGGTTCTACGACGAAAATGGACAGTTCGTCGAGCTCTCGGGCGAAGCGGGGGCGTATCTGCAGACCCAGGAGCACTCGGTGCGTTAAAAATACATTTCTTCACTCGATGCATTGTTGTACCTTACAGCGCGACGCGCGATGATTTCACGACTACCACGGTTCTTTGACGATGATTGGTTTGTAATTTCGACGTTTCGACGAATAACAGATGGTCTAACGCGGTGCTTTCGCTCGTAGGGCACGATGAACGATGATGAAGCGTTCGACAACATCGATGATGTCGCTCTCGAGGAGCTCTCGATCGGGGGAGACGAAGAGGATGAGCGCGTCGCGGCGTCCGCCAATCTGGAATGCGCCGTGTGTTTAGAGGTGGTTGCCCAACGCCCTCGCTTGGCCGACCGACGATTCGGTTTGCTCAACGCGTGCGATCACATATTCTGCCTGGGATGTATTCGCGGATGGCGACAGGGTGGCACGCAGCGCGGCTCCGAGGCGTCGGCGTCGTCGAATGAACAGGCGCGTATGTGTCCAATCTGCCGCGTGACGTCCCATTTCATCACGCCCGCGACGACGTGGCCACGCAACGCGGATGAGAAGAAGGAGATGACGGAGGCGTATCTCGCGCGCATGAAGAAGATTCCGTGCCGTTTCTTTGATGGTGGCGACGGTACGTGCCCGTTCGGGACGTCGTGCTTTTACGAGCATCGGTACAGGGCGACCGGGGAACTGGAGGAGAGCAACGTGAGAAAGAGCACCGCCGCGGATGGTAGTCTGAACATCATCACCCCCGTTCGATTGAGCGATTTCCTTCAGACATCGAGACGACTGCGATGACACGGAATGGATCAATGTAATACGAAATTCTTACAATTCAAAGGACTTGAGGCTTTTAAAAAGAAATAGACTAAGTAAATACGCTGCTTCTAAGGTTCATAGCTCAAGTTGGGTCCGAGCCAACGTTGCGCCTCCGATAGGTCCATCTTCTTACGATCAGCGTACTCGGTGACTTGATCGGCGGTGATCTTACCGACGTTGAAGTACTGAGAGCACGCACCTGCGAAATAAAGGCCGGAAACTGACGCCGACGGAAGCATGGCAAACGTTTCCGTGAGCTCGACGCCGATCTCCTCCTTGACCTTCATCAAGTCCCACATCGTGGCTTTCTCAGTGTGGTCCGGTTGAGACGGGTAGCCCGGCGCCGGACGGATCCCTTGGTACTTAACCTTGAGTAAATCGTCACACGAGAACGCTTCATCCTTGGCGTAGCCCCAGTGATCCTTACGAACTTGTTCATGAAGCAATTCCGCGAAGGCTTCGGCGAGACGATCAGCCAAGGCTTCAGCCATGATGTACGAGTAATCATCGTTCGCCGCCTTGTACTCGGCGGTGAGCTCGTCGAGGCCAAAACCGGCAGAGCAAACGAACATGCCGAGGTAGTCCTTCACGCCGCTGGACTTGGGCGCGATAAAGTCGCTGAGCGCCATGTACGGCTCGTCCGTGTCCTTCTCGGCTTGTTGACGAAGCGTGAAGAAGGTGTGCTGTGGCGTCGATCTGGTCTCATCCGTGTAGACGACGATGTCGTCGCCGACTGAGTTCGCCGGATAGAACCCGTAGATGCCCTTCAACGTGAGTCGCTTATTTTCCTTGATCTTTTGAATCATTGCGTTGGCCTCGTTGAAGAGCTTCTTCGCCTCACTGCCAACGGTTTCATCGTTGAAAATCTTTGGGTAGCCGCGGTTCGGGTAACGACCGCGAAGCTGCCAAACTTGGAAGAACGGGTTCCAGTCGATGTACGGGAGAACGTCATCGATCGAGACTTCGACAGATTTTGCACCGCAGAACTTCGGCGTGACCGGGATGTTCGGTGCCACGGTGAAATCCACAGGTTGGACAGTCGCCCGAGCCTTCTCAAGGGTCAAGTACTTACGATCCTCCAAACCGGCGTAGAACTCTTCACGCATCTCAGCATACGTCTCATTGATGTCATCAAGGAAATCAACGTTCTTCCTGTCGTCCAACAGCGTCTGAGCGACCGGGACGGCACGAGAGGCGTCCAGAACGTGAATGACACCACCCGAGTAGTTTGGCGTGAGCTTCACAGCAGTGTGCATCTTTGAAGTCGTCGCTCCACCAATTAGAAGCGGAAGCTTCATTCCGCGCTTCTCCATCTCCTTCGCAACAGTAACCATTTCATCCAGCGACGGTGTGATAAGACCGGACAAACCCAAGATATCTGCTTTGTGTTCCACGACGGCATCGAGGATCTTTTCACATGGGCACATGACACCGATATCAACAACCTTGAAGTTATTGCAACCCAGGACGACGGCGACGATGTTTTTACCGATGTCGTGGACGTCACCCTTTACAGTGGCGATCAAGAACGTGCCGGCGGTACTCGCCTCCGTGCTACCGGTGGCGGCCTTCTCGGCATCCATGAAGGGGATGAGGTGACCGACAGCCTTCTTCATCACACGAGCAGACTTGATGACTTGTGGCAAGAACATCTTACCAGCACCGAAGAGGTCACCAACGATGTTCATGCCGTCCATGAGGGGACCTTCGATGACCTCCAAGCACGACGAGTACTTGCCGCCGATGCGGCACTCCTCAGTGTCAGCAATGCAGAACTCATCAATACCCTTGATGAGAGCGTACTCGAGACGCTTCTCCGCTGGCTGGTTGCGCCACTCCTTGCCAGATCCAGCCGTCTTCTTAGATGTCGCCGCCACACCCTTCTTGCGAAGCTCGGTGGGCTTGGACTTCGGGTCAAGCGTGGCCGCGAACTCGAGCATGCGCTCAGTGGCGTTTGTGCAACGGTTCAAGAGGACATCCTCGACATACTCGAGCAGCTCCTTGTCAATCTTTGTGTATTCATCTTCCTCGACTTGCGCTGCGTTCACGATACCCATGTCCATGCCAGCCTTGCACGCGTGGTACAAGAAAGCGCTGTGGAAAGCGCGGCGGACGGGCTCGTTGCCACGGAAGGAGAATGCCAAGTTGGACACGCCACCACTGATCTTGCAACCCGGGCAGAGTCGCTTGATCTCACGCGTGGCGTTGATGAAGTCAACGGCGTAGTTGTTGTGTTCTTCCATTCCCGTACCAATCGTGAGAATGTTCGGGTCAAAGATGATGTCCTGCGGGTTGAAACCAACTTCCTCGACCAACAGCTTGTACGCACGGCAACAAATGCGAATCTTCTCTGCCTCAGTCGCCGCCTGCCCTGCCTCGTCAAAGGCCATCACAACAACAGCGGCGCCGTGGCGCTTGACAATACGCGCGTGCTTCAAGAACTCCTCCTCGCCACCCTTGAGGGAGATGGAGTTCATGATGCACTTGCCTTGGCTGCACTTGAGTCCAGCCTCGACAACATGAAACTTCGAAGAGTCGATCATGAACGGAACCTTGGAGGCATCCGGCTCAGAGACGAGCAAGTTGACGAAGCGGGTCATTGCCGACTCACCATCGATCAAGCCGTCATCCATGTTGATGTCAATCACGTGAGCACCGTTTTCGACTTGCTTGAGGGCGATCGCAAGAGCCTTCTCAAAATCACCGTCAACAATGGCCTTCTTGAAGATGGTCGAGCCAGCAACGTTGCATCGCTCACCGAGGTTGATGAACGTCTTGCGGTAATCCTTCTCGTCCGGCGAGTAGTTAAACGGCTCAAGGCCAGAAAGACGCATGATATCCGGGATGCCATGCTTCTTACGCGGCGTGTACGGCGCCACCATGTCCGCCAAGGCACCGATGTGCTCATCCGTAGTTCCGCAGCAACCACCGATGCCGTTCAACAGACCCTTCTCGAGGAAAACGCGGCAGTCTTCGGCCATTTCGGCACCCTTTTGGTCGTAACCGCCCATGGCGTTCGGCAAACCAGCGTTCGGGTACGCAAACACCCAGCAGTCGGCGCACTTACTCAGGTTCTCGATGTACGGGACCATATCCTTGGCACCGAGAGCACAGTTCAAGCCAATGGCCATCGGCTTGGCGTGCATCACAGAGTTCCAGAACGCCTCGTTCGTCTGGCCAGACAACGTACGACCAGAGTTGTCGACGATGGTACCGGACACGAAGAGCGGCAAGCGAGTGCCGTACGCGTCAAAGAATTTCTCAATGGCAAAAATCGCAGCCTTCGCGTTGAGGGTGTCAAAGATGGTTTCGACCAAAAGCATGTCAACACCACCTTCCACGAGCGCTTCGATCTGATCATAGTAGCCGTCAACAATTTCGTCGAACGTGCACGCGCGGAACGCCGGGTTCTCGACTGATGGAGACACGGAAAGCGTTCTGTTTGTCGGACCAATGGCACCGGCGGCAAAACGTGGCTTGTCCGGGTTCTGCTTCGTAAACTTCTCGCACGCCGCCTTCGCCAAACGAGCGGCAGCGATGTTCATATCGCGCACTTCGTTCTTCTTATCGAGCTCGTAGTCGGCTTGGGCGATCATCGTCGAAGAGAAGGTGTTCGTCTCAATGATGTCGGCGCCCGCTGCGAGATACGCCTCGTGGATCTCCCCAATCACATCCGGCCTCGTGAGCACAAGAATGTCGTTGTTCCCCTTCAAGTCGTGCGTGTGCTCCTTGTAACGCTCTCCTCGGAAGTCATCCTCGGTCAGCTTGTACCTCTGCACTGCCGTACCCATGGCGCCGTCAATCACCATCACGCGTTTTGCCATGATACCCTCAATGACGTCAAACGCCGGGCTCTTCTTCATGGGGTCGACGAACTCCTTGTAAGTCGGAACCGGAAGAAGTTCGGACGCCTTCTTCGGCGCGATCTTATTCTCTGACGAATAGTTTTGCTTCGGCTGGGCCTCGAACTTTGGAGCCGGCGGCTCGGCACCGAGTCTGCGAAGCTGAGTAGGCTTGGACTTCGGGTCAAGCGTGGCCGCGAACTCGAGCATGCGCTCAGTGGCGTTTGTGCAACGGTTCAAGAGGACATCCTCGACATACTCGAGCAGCTCCTTGTCAATCTTTGTGTATTCATCTTCCTCGACTTGCGCTGCGTTCACGATACCCATGTCCATGCCAGCCTTGCACGCGTGGTACAAGAAAGCGCTGTGGAAAGCGCGGCGGACGGGCTCGTTGCCACGGAAGGAGAATGCCAAGTTGGACACGCCACCACTGATCTTGCAACCCGGGCAGAGTCGCTTGATCTCACGCGTGGCGTTGATGAAGTCAACGGCGTAGTTGTTGTGTTCTTCCATTCCCGTACCAATCGTGAGAATGTTCGGGTCAAAGATGATGTCCTGCGGGTTGAAACCAACTTCCTCGACCAACAGCTTGTACGCACGGCAACAAATGCGAATCTTCTCTGCCTCAGTCGCCGCCTGCCCTGCCTCGTCAAAGGCCATCACAACAACAGCGGCGCCGTGGCGCTTGACAATACGCGCGTGCTTCAAGAACTCCTCCTCGCCACCCTTGAGGGAGATGGAGTTCATGATGCACTTGCCTTGGCTGCACTTGAGTCCAGCCTCGACAACATGAAACTTCGAAGAGTCGATCATGAACGGAACCTTGGAGGCATCCGGCTCAGAGACGAGCAAGTTGACGAAGCGGGTCATTGCCGACTCACCATCGATCAAGCCGTCATCCATGTTGATGTCAATCACGTGAGCACCGTTTTCGACTTGCTTGAGGGCGATCGCAAGAGCCTTCTCAAAATCACCGTCAACAATGGCCTTCTTGAAGATGGTCGAGCCAGCAACGTTGCATCGCTCACCGAGGTTGATGAACGTCTTGCGGTAATCCTTCTCGTCCGGCGAGTAGTTAAACGGCTCAAGGCCAGAAAGACGCATGATATCCGGGATGCCATGCTTCTTACGCGGCGTGTACGGCGCCACCATGTCCGCCAAGGCACCGATGTGCTCATCCGTAGTTCCGCAGCAACCACCGATGCCGTTCAACAGACCCTTCTCGAGGAAAACGCGGCAGTCTTCGGCCATTTCGGCACCCTTTTGGTCGTAACCGCCCATGGCGTTCGGCAAACCAGCGTTCGGGTACGCAAACACCCAGCAGTCGGCGCACTTACTCAGGTTCTCGATGTACGGGACCATATCCTTGGCACCGAGAGCACAGTTCAAGCCAATGGCCATCGGCTTGGCGTGCATCACAGAGTTCCAGAACGCCTCGTTCGTCTGGCCAGACAACGTACGACCAGAGTTGTCGACGATGGTACCGGACACGAAGAGCGGCAAGCGAGTGCCGTACGCGTCAAAGAATTTCTCAATGGCAAAAATCGCAGCCTTCGCGTTGAGGGTGTCAAAGATGGTTTCGACCAAAAGCATGTCAACACCACCTTCCACGAGCGCTTCGATCTGATCATAGTAGCCGTCAACAATTTCGTCGAACGTGCACGCGCGGAACGCCGGGTTCTCGACTGATGGAGACACGGAAAGCGTTCTGTTTGTCGGACCAATGGCACCGGCGGCAAAACGTGGCTTGTCCGGGTTCTGCTTCGTAAACTTCTCGCACGCCGCCTTCGCCAAACGAGCGGCAGCGATGTTCATATCGCGCACTTCGTTCTTCTTATCGAGCTCGTAGTCGGCTTGGGCGATCATCGTCGAAGAGAAGGTGTTCGTCTCAATGATGTCGGCGCCCGCTGCGAGATACGCCTCGTGGATCTCCCCAATCACATCCGGCCTCGTGAGCACAAGAATGTCGTTGTTCCCCTTCAAGTCGTGCGTGTGCTCCTTGTAACGCTCTCCTCGGAAGTCATCCTCGGTCAGCTTGTACCTCTGCACTGCCGTACCCATGGCGCCGTCAATCACCATCACGCGTTTTGCCATGATACCCTCAATGACGTCAAACGCCGGGCTCTTCTTCATGGGGTCGACGAACTCCTTGTACTTCGGTGCGTTCGCTCTCCCACCCTTAGGCTTCACCTGCGGGTAGAGCTCGTGATACGACGGCGCGTCGCCGTATCGCTTCACCTCTTTCTCCTCCATCTCCTTTGCCCCAGTGAGCTCCAATACGAACGCGGTCACCATCGCGATCGGCGCCAAGATCGGCGTTGCCACGACGAACAACGCCGCGAACAACGCCGCCAAGGGCCACATCGTGAGAACGATCAACGCGCCTCGCTTCCCGTCCACTCTCGCGACGTTGTGCCATCTCGCGTACGCCAAACGAAGCTCTTGGGCGTCGAACACGCGGAGGACCGAACGCGAGAGCATCGCGACCGTTCGCTGGGAACGCGGACTCGCGCTTCGTTCACCACGACACGGGACGTTCGAGCGCGCGATGAGATTTTTAGGAAATCTCTCGACGCGTTCGTCGACTTCGCAGTGCGTCGCGCCCGTCGCGAGGCGCGCGGTGGGGCGACAGAAAGCGATTATCCGGACGCCGCCGTCCGGACACTGGCACAGGTTTGATCTTGGAGGGAGTTTGAGGAGTTACGACTGGTCGATGTGGATTGTATTTCAGACTTTGGCTACGTCGAGCGGCGGAGACTCGGGATTACGCGGCGGCTCTGGCTTCGCGTTGGGCACGTTTACCCACGTCGTACCCGCGGCTCATCTTGGTCTGATTCGCGAGCTTGTCGCGGCGTCGACGCTGGAGCGCGAGTTGGCGCTCGCGGAAAATTGTTGGAATGTCCTTCCCGGTGGCCGACATCTCCTTCTTGTACGAATCGAGGACGACACGGACATCCTGGACGTTCAGGCGAACGATTGATTCGAGGAAGGGCATGAGATCCAACAGCGCCGTGTCCTTGGAGCCGTCCTCGTACGTCCACGGCTTGATCGGTATGACGTTGGCGGGGTGAAGCTCGGCGCTCCTCGGCTTACTGCTAATGTACAAAATCTGCCCCATATCCCGATTCAGTTTGCTCAGGTCCCTGATATACTCCCCGTTTTTGTACTGCGCTGACTCTCGGTAGAGACGATGGGTGACGTACCTCGTCGGATCTAACCGTTCAATGATCGGGTCGCCGTACGTCATCAGCTGGTCCGTGAAAATCACCATCTCGTAAAACTGCGCCATGTGTGCCAAGAAGCCGTCCACCCCGGGTCGCTTGAACACCCTCCATCCTCGCTCGCGCTTCCAATTGGAATTGATCAGCGTATCGTCTAAGTCTAACACCAGCGTGTGCGGTATGTACTCCGCCTGCGGCGGGTGATCGGGCAACAGCTTATCGCTGATGGGATCCAGATAATTGTGTGACTGATCGTCCATCCACTCCCGCAGCGCCAACAGGCGCTCAATCGCCCCGCCGTACACCCCCCCGAGCGGCGTCTCTCTCAGCGCCTTCGGCACGTGCTCGTTCGCCTCCACCTCTCGCCTGAGCTCCTCCGTCGTGCTCGCGTACGTCGACGCCCCGACCACGGACCCCGCGAGCGTGCCCACGACGAGCGCCACCGTCCCGAGACGATCACTCAGCGTCCCCGTCTTCGCCGCCTCGCCCTCGGCCTCGCTCGCGAGCGCTCGAGTGGGAATCCACGTCGGCTCGCTCGCCAATCGCGCCGTTCGTCCCGATCGCGCCGCCAGCGCGCTCGCGCACCGCCGCGCCGCGCGACGCATCGCGCACGGACCGTTCAAACAGTCGCGGTCGACCCGCCTCGACGCGCGCGCGGGCGTGGGCGCGGGGCGACGCGCAATCTCGGCACGCGCGCCGAGTGCGCGCCGCTCGAGCTCGAGTCTCTTGATCCGCGAGTCATGACTCGTGAAACGGCTGCACTCGACAAAACATCGCGCGCGCGCCCCGCACACGCCCGCGTCGCGCCCGCGCTCGCGGCGACCGCGCGCGATGGGCAACGCGCAGGGTAAATCTAAACACGGCGCGAACGGCGCGGAGTCCAGGGCGAGACGATCGCGCGATGGACGAGGGCACGGACGCGAATCCTCGAGGTCCAACGAGAGCGGGTTCGCGCGCGACGACGCGAACGATGACGCGCGAGGGAGCGACGCGCTGTCGTACGGGTGCGTGTGACGATGGTTTTTGATTCTCGTCACCCGGGCGAGCGAACGACGGGGATGGTCGACGGCGTCGGAGGGATCGTTTGGATCGCGCGAGACGCTGAGCGGGACAATCGAGCGAGCGAACGCGAGCGACTGACGATGGGAATCGTGACGCGCGTGTGATAGGCCGCAGACGCCGACGGTTCCCATGGCTGGGGAGGACGGCGCTCGGGGGGGGTTTCCGGATTGGGCGACGACGGAGCCGGCGCTCGTGCCGGTGGCGATCAACTGGACTCAAGGCGGGAACAGCGTGGAGGTCGAGGGGAGCTTTGACAACTGGCAGTCGAGGCAGACGCTGCACAAGAGCGGGAACAGGGAGTTTGCGATCGTGATGTCGCTTAGACCGGGGGTGTACCAGTATAAATTCATAGTGGATGGACAGTGGAAGTACGCGCCCGATCAGCCCACGATGTACGACGAAATGGGAAACGTGAACAATGTGCTCGAGGTGCAGGAGTACGTGCCGGAGATTTTGGATAGCCTCGACGCGTTCACGGCTCCAGCCTCGCCGCCGGCGAGTTACGATTGCTCACCGTTTCACTCCGACGATTTCTCCAAGGATCCGCCGCCGATCCCGCCGCAGTTGAACATGACTCTGTTAAACGTGCCCATGGTGCCCGACGCGCCGAATCTCCTTCCTAGACCGCAACACGTGGTGCTGAATCACACGTATTGCGACGGAACCAAGGCGGATAGTGGGGTTCAGGTGCTCGGCACTACGCATAGATATCGCTCGAAGTACATCACGGTCGTCTACTTGAAATCGATGCCGCCGCAATAGGTTGAGGCTGTAAAACACTAGACTAATTTTCTACGCTCTACGTGCATGGTGATGCGCAGAGGGCATCGCACCGCGATTTCCACTCGTGTTCGCTCGCATCTGCACCGCATTTCCATCCCCGCTCGTCACCATCGCGGAAAAAGGCGTGTTCGAGCGCTTGCGCCGCGCTTGGGCGCTCATTGGGATCCCATGAGAGGAGCTTACGGATCAGACGTAAGGCCCAGATGGATTCCAAGCCGACGCCGAGCGGATCGCGTGCCTTGAAGATGTTCATCAGCGCCACTTCCGTGCACTCCCACGACAGCAAGGTACCAACTTGGGTGTCAGGGGGCACGATGCATAGTTCGAGCATCGCACGCAACCGATAAGCCACCGCGCGGGCCGTCGGATGTACCTCGCGAAGTTCGCGCTCGAGCGCAAGTCTCGTCTTGCGGGAAATGTGTGAAAAAGCCTTGGGTGACCCGAGTGAGAGCAATTCGGTCATCATAACGCCGAGCGACCAAATATCGTATTTTAAGGTGCGTTCGATCAGATCGTTGCCGAAAAGAACCTCAGGTGGACTATACTCGGCGGTCTCTTGCGCCGCTGAAGGGCCCGTCGAGCCGTAGAGCTGAATGCGTCTTCGCGTGTCCATGGCACTCCCAAAATCGCCGAGCTTGGCTTGGACAATATCATCATCAAATCGAACGAATACGTTTGCCGGCTTTATATCTCTATGAACGACGCCAAAGTTCGAGTGACTCACATTCACCGCGGCGAAGATCTGCCTCAAGATGGTCTTGAGAACTCGACGACCTGTAGCAGAGCGACGCGTCTCACGCCACCAATCGCTCTGTGACACGAGCTGTAATGTGGCCGAATCTCCTCCAACCTCACTCTCCGGGGCGTACATTAATCGCTCCAACGATTCGCCCTCGTCCCTGAACACAAGCCATCGCTCGCGGCCACTGGGGGGTATCTTATCAAATGTGTGCATGTATCTGGCGATGTGCGGCGACGCCCCACACAGCAACCTCCCGAAGTAGACCTCTCTGTCCGCACTCAGCTGCAAATCCAAGTCTTGTTCCACTAAAATTCTTTTCATGATAACAGTCGAAGAATCACCCGAGACCGCGCTAGACGCGCACTCCAATTTCTGCGCCGTCAGTTGCCGAGACAATTTCGCTCGCCACACCTCGCCAAAGTGTCCTCTCGCAAACGGGCGCTCACCCGCCCGCACTCCCTCGTCCTGGCCTCTCGCTAGTCTTGAATCGATTATACCAACGTAAGACGTGATTGCATTTTGCACACGATTCTTTTCGCCTTTCCCTGGCGCCAACGCGAGCGCCGTGAGCGCACCCTCGATGGCGCTCTGCTCAAACTTCCGTCCAAAATTATACGTCGGCTGCGGCTCTTCGTCGTACATATCGTCGTATCTAAAAGGTGTCTTCGCCGGCAAGTATGGCCCGGATGACCACGCGACGAGCTGTGTGATTTTGTACTCTTCGATGTTCGAGCCGATGCTCAGCATCTCTGCAACTAAACTTGAAGGTTTCTGCTGGGTCACGGTGATTTGCGTATTGTGACGCCCGGCTGAAACCGCGGCCAGGGCGACGTTATCTGACGAACCTAATTCGAGCGCACACTTAAGTGCTCGTTCAACGCGCTCGTTCATCACCTCAGAGTTACCCTGCACTTCCACAGTGTCCCATGCGTCCTCGCTTGACTGCGTGCTTGATGCGGCGTCTCCGTCAAGGGCGATGGATGTGTCAACTTTAGCGCTCTCATCGCACTTACGCTTACCCGCAAACACAAAAGCACACGCATCGTCTGGTTTCAATCGCTCCGTCGTGCCGTCCGAGGTCAGAATGAGCCCCAATTCATTCGTTCGCCACCTCCTCGCGACGACATCCGGCGTCTGTGAAACGCCGCGCGCGCGCCGCGCGGTTCCTCCTAGCGCCCGCGTGACTAAATACTCGCCCCCAACCCGCATCGCCCCCCTCGATTCTACGATCGTTCCGCCCTCCGCCCGCACTCTCGCGCGCTCGCGCGCGTTCCCGAGCCCGTGATCCTCTGTCAACCGCCGCGCTCGAACGCCGCCGCCGGACGTCTCGCACGCGTACGCCGCGCTATCCCCGACGTGCGCCACCTCGAACCCATCGCTCCGCACCAGCGCCAACACCACAGTCGTCCCCGACGCTTCACCATCGCACGCATCCCCGAGCGCGCGCACCACGCTCGCCGCACCGCCCGCGTCCGCGCGCTTTGCCGCGCGCGTCGTCTCCCGCGCCGCGCGCGCGCTCGCCGTCGACCCGTCGTGTCCATCGAACACGCCCGCGACGACGAGATCGACGGAAACGTCACTCACGACGCACGCGTCTTCCTGGGCGCGTCGTCGGCCCCGCGCGCGTGCGCACGCGTGCGTGAACGCGCTCGAGCTCGGCGAGACCGTTACGCGCTCAGACGCGAAATGCGCGACGACCGCGACGACGGCGACGACGGCGACGACGAGGGCCCGAACGCCGAGACGACGTCGTCTTCGGACGTCGTCGAGGCCGTCGTCGGGGTCGACGCGCGACATTGTGCGGTGATGCGTGCGGGATGTCTGTCGTGCGCGCTCGAGGAAACATTCAACGGAACGCGTCCTACGCACCACTTCACAGCGCGGCGTCGAGGGCGTCGCGGGACGCGGTCACGAATGCGCGCGCGTTATTTTACAGAGCTATGTGTGAGGCCCGGACGTCGGACGTCTCGCCGTTGGCCTGGGATTGGTCGGCGCCGCCTCGGATGACGAGGACGATACCGGCGAGAAGAAGCGGACCGCCGAGCAGAGTGAAGAGCTTCGGTGTCGACGTTCCGTAGGTGAGAAAACCGATGATGGTGCCTATGACGGGTTCCATCGTTGTCGAGATGGACACGACGAGGGAAGAGACGTAACCCAGGGCAAAATTGAACCCGGCGTGGCCGATGATTCCGGAAACGAAGGCGAGGAGGACAAACCATGAGATTTTCGCAGAGCTCGCCCAACCGAACACGGGCTCGCGTTCATCGAAGACGAGCGCGAACAGGGCGAGAAAGACGGCCGCGATGAGGGTCACCGGAAACGCGTACACCGTCGTCGGCATCCACGTACGTAAGGTGCGACCGCATTCGATGTGGAACACGATCGCCACCGCGCCCAAAAAGGCGAGCGCGTCGCCCTTCGCCGTGACCTCCTTGTCGTCTCTAATGTCAAGCAGCGTGATCCCGGCGCCGACGAGACCGATGAATACACCCGCAGTCTCCATATTAGTCGGCCGGTGTCTCCTAAAGATCGCATTCTCGACGAGTATGAGCAGAGGGCTCGTCGTGACGAACAGAAGCGAGTGCGCCAAGCTCGTCATGTCCAGACTCGCCACCCAAGCGGCAAAGTGGACGCCCAGCGCGAACCCGCTCCCGAGAAGAATCCCCCATGTTTTTCCAGCTCGCATCTTGTCACGCTCCGCGCTCGATTCCCACCTCCGGTACTCCCACGCTCCCATCGGGGCGAGGAAAAACGTCGTGAGCGTCAGCCGCCAGCACGCTCGAGTAATCGGCGGCGTCTCGTATAGCTCATTCTGAAGAAGAACGCCAGCGAACGAGATCCCAATCGTCGCGCACGCAATCACGATCCATATCCACCACGGCGCCGCTTTCTCAACCTGCGTTCGCGCGATGAAATTGGTCAATCGTTCCGCTCGCGTCCCGCTCTCGCGTCCCGCTGCGTCCCGAAGAAATGTTCGTGGCAAAAAGTAGAGCGCGCGTCGTGGCTCGCGCCGCGCGCTCGTCGCAAGCCGACGAGCTGTTCGATGTACCCCGGATCATGAGTACGACCGCCACGGGTGAGACGGTAATATAGATACGCCGGGAGAGACCGCGCGGTGGCTCTGACAGAGCTCTGACAAAGTTTTCCGCGTGGAGACAAAAAAGCGACGCGGGCGACGCGCGCGCGGGGACGCGAGACCGCGGAGCGCGCGCACCTGAGTGTCGGGCATGGGTGACGGCCGAAGCCGGGCCCCACCGAGGGGGCCGCGGGCGACGGAGTGACGCGCGAGCGAACGAGGGTTCTGGGGTTGGTTTCTCCGTCGGTTGCGCGAGCGTTTTTACAAAGTCGTAGATGTAGTCCATCAATCCGATCCCTCGGCGTCCTTGACCGCTCCTGCATCGCACAGCTCTTCGGAGAATTCCCAGAGTCTGGCCGCCAGTCGAGGGTCTCGGCCCGGAAGGCTGGCTTTGACCGGGACGCAGTTGTTGAAGTACGTTCCGGGCGGAATGGTGGGCGCGGTGAGGCAGTAGAGCGGCGTCACGACGGCCTCCTCCAGCGTGTTGATCATGACGTATTTCAGAGGGGCTGATATGAGAGACCCACCGGGGAAGGAGAGCGAACGATCGAGCTCGAGCTCGGTGAGTCCGGGCGTCGCCGCCACGCAACGCACGCGCGCGCCGGATTTGGCCAAACGCTCAGAGAGCGACCACGCGTGTAAGACGTTCGCGAGCTTGCTCTGCCCGTACGCGTTCAGAGGAGAGTATCCGAAATCGCTGTTAATGTTCGCGAAATCGATGCCTCGGCTCGGCTTGGGCGTTCCCTGACGGATGCGAAACGAAAAGTGGTGCAGATTCGACGTCAGATACACCACTCGACCCTCGCGCCCGGACGCCGCCGCCGTGCGCACGAGCTCGTCCATCAACAGCGACGTCAACTTAAAGTGCGCGAGATGATTCACCGCGAAGTGTCGCTCGATGCCATCCGCCGTGAGCGAGAATTCCTCCATGGTCGTCGACGCGGCGTTGAGCACGCCGTCGAGCGCCCACGCCTTGGCGCAAAACTCCCGCGCGAACCTCTCGATCGTCTCCAGGCGCTCGACGTCGCAGTACATCGTCACCAACGCCCCCGACGCCCTCAACTCCCTCTCATGCGCCGTGTTCGCCGTCGTCGCGTCCTCGTCTCTCCCGTCGCCTTTGTCTCCATCCACCCGCGCGCGCGCTTCGTTCGCGTCCACGCACGCGCACACCACCCTCGCCCCCGCGTCGCGCAACCGCCGCGCGCACGCCGCCGCGATCGCGCTCGTCTCCGTCCCCGTGACGACGTACGTGCGTCCTCGGAGATCACCCGTCGCCGTCCCCGTCTCGCCGTCGCCGAAATTTCGCTCCGCCGCGTTCTCGCCGTCGCTCACGGCGTCCAGCGCGCCCGATCCCGCGCACGCGCGCACCGAGGCGCGCATCGACGCCAGCGCGCGCTCCATCGGCCGCGTCGACGTCGACGGGCGAGGAATGGTGCGCGAATGTCGCGCTCGGTGCGATTGAATCCGACGCATGCGCATCGCGTCGCCGACACACCGCGCCGCGCGCGCGCGCCCTCGCGCGATCGCGAGCGCGAGCGACGATGGGGCCGAATCGAGGGGGCGGTCGACGGTTCGGCGGGGGCGGACACCAGAGCGGACAGAACGCGATGGATAAGACGAAGCAAAAGCGCGCGGACGACCGCGCGGCGACGCGACGGCGAGATGGTGGACGCGGACGCGGACGCGAGCGCGAGCGCGAGCGCACGGGTGGGAATGATGCGAACGAGGCGGAGACGCTGGGGATGAGCGCGCAGGCGGCGGCGCGGGCGGCGGCGACGCTGCGGGAGCTGCGGGTGACGACGGCGGCGACGGCTCGCGGGACGGCGGAGGTCGAGGCGCGAGCGGACGTGGATAGAGATGATGTGGTGCGGAAAGCGGGGGCGGCGATCGGGAAGAAGGGATTCGCGGAGGCTGTGGTGGCGCGCGCGCTGGAGGCGACGGCGGCGGCGGCGGTGGCGGAGCGGGACGCGGGAGAGGGATTTAACGAACAGAAGCGACGAGCGATCGCGCGAGCGATGGATTGGTTGATCCTGAACGCGGATGAGAGTGAGTTGCCGGAGGTGTTTCGATCGGAGGCGTCGAAGAAGAGAGGGAGTGGGAAGGGGCGGCGCGGGAGCGCGTCTGGTGATGGAGACGGCGTCGAAGAGGAGGCTCGCGTGATCGAGGCGTTCGTTCGAGCAGGATTCGGCGTTGACGCGGCGCGAGCGGCGCTTCGTGGGGCGAAAAGGGACGTCGACCGCGCCCTGGACGATCTGTGCGCCGCGCTCGGGCCGAATCGAGAGGAGGCTCTCGCGGAGGCGATGGACGCCTTCGCCGACACGGGCTCGGATTCGGTGACTGAAGAGGATATTCGCGAAGTTCTCAGGAACGCGCAGTACGATGAACTCTCAGAGCTCCCGCGCGAGCTCTACAAGACGAGAGGATATAATCCAGCCTCCGGCACGGCGGTGCTAGAGGTTGAGATTGCTGGCATCGTTCAGCTCGGAGCGGCCAAGCAATACGCCGCAGACGTGAGCGTGAGCTTTAAGAACACTCCACTCTACCCGTTTGAGCTTCCAGGACTGCGGTTCTCGCACCCGACGCTGGATGTCGAGCGCTCCGTGGCCGTTTCTGCGGCGATGATGCGGTACGCGTCATCTTTGGTCGGTCAACCGATGATTGCGGACGTCGTCGAATGGTTGCAAGGAAGCGGTCCTCTGGAGGCGATCGAAGAAGCGCGAGAGCGATCTTTAATGCCTCCTCCCGAGCCAAAGCAAGCAGGCAAGTCGGTTCCGGTACCCAAGGTTGGGATATTTGCCCCACCGCAGCAGTCTAAGGAGGAACGTAAACAGGAACTGGAGCGGAGGCGAAAGCTCGCCGCCGAGGCAGAGAAGACGAGAGCCGAGGTTGAGGCAAAGACGGAGGCCGAGACGCAGAATATCGCGGCGGCGAAGACGAAAAAGTTATCGGAACTCATTCTCAAGGAAGAGGAGAAACGCGCGAGCGATCCGCGTGTTCTCGCTGAGAGCGCGCGAATGAAGGACGAGTTGACGAAGTACTGGAACGATAATCCGGATTCTCCGATTCTCAGGCAGCGGCAACGACTACCCGCGTGGGCGAAACAGCAGGAGCTGATCGATGCTGTCGAGCGTCACCAAGTTCTCATCGTCGCGGGCGAAACAGGCTGCGGTAAGACGACGCAGTTGCCGCAGTTTATTCTCGACAACGCCATTTGGCAAGGTCGAGGAGCGGTCACCAACATGATTTGCACGCAGCCGCGAAGGATCAGCGCGACGAGCGTCGCCGCACGCGTTGCGAACGAGCGCGGTGAGCAGCTTGGTAAGACGGTTGGCTATAAAATTCGTTTGGAGGGCTCGATGAGCTCAAGCACTCGAATCTTATTCTGCACGACCGGCGTCTTACTGAGAAGGCTCACCGAGGATCCGTTGTTGAGTGACGTAAGTCACGTCATCGTCGATGAAGTTCACGAGCGTTCGCTCGACTCTGACTTCTTACTCGTTCTCTTACGAGACATCCTTCCGCATCGACCGACGCTGAAGGTGGTGCTGATGTCCGCCACGTTGAACGCTCTCGCCTTTGAGGATTATTTCAAGGGCAACTGCGCAGTGAGTCAGATTCCCGGTTTCACCTATCCCGTAAGCGAGCACTATTTGGAAGATATCTTGCAAGTCACGGAGTATCAACCGAATCCGGGGACTGAGTACTTCAAAAAGGCTCCGCGTCGCAAGGAGAACTTTGATCCTTCAACTCGGCCGGTTTCGAGTAAGGATGGGAACATCCCGGATGAGGAGTCATTCCACGTCGCTTTGCGCTCGAAAGGCTATGGAGAGAACGTCGTTCGCGCGCTCAGGAATCTCGAGCAAGGATTGATAAACTACGAGCTCATGACGAAGTTGATATCGCACATTTGCGAGTCCATGGGACCAGGAGCGATACTTGTTTTCATGCCTGGATTGGCTGAAATCACGAAGCTGTACGAAGCTTGCGGCGACAACGCCGCCGTGAGCGCCGCAACAGCCGGTGGCAAGTATCTGATCGCGCTACACAGTACCTTATCCACCGCCGAGCAAGGTATTGTGTTCGATCACGCGCCTGAAGGGGTCCGGAAGATCGTCATCGCCACAAACATTGCGGAGACTTCAATTACCATCGATGATGTCGTTTATGTCGTCGACAGTGGTAAGTGCAAAGAGAATGGATACGATCCGAACACTCGAATGCAGTTATTGCTCGAGCAGTGGGTCTCTCGCGCGAGTGCGAGGCAACGACGCGGTCGTGCTGGTCGCGTGCAAGCCGGTAGATGCTTCCGGATGTACTCGCGTCACGTTCACGATAAAGTTTTCGCCGAACACACTCTTCCTGAGATCAGGCGCGTGCCCTTGGAGGGATTGTGTCTACAAATTCAACTCCAGCGTATGGCGGGTGGTATAGCCGGGTTCTTAAGCAAGGCCCTGGAGCCACCGAAGGTTGAGTCCGTGGAAACGGCGGTTGCGGCGCTCAAACAGCTCGGCGCGCTTGACGAACGAGAAAATTTGACTCCGCTCGGTCAGCACTTGGCGACTTTACCCGTTGACGTGCGTGTCGGTAAAATGCTTCTCTACGGCTCAATGCTAGGGTGTCTGGATCCTGTGCTCACGATCGCTGCTGTTCTGAGTGGAAGGTCTCCGTTTGTCGCGCCCCTTGACAAGCGAGATGAGGCAGATCTGGCAAAGAAGCTCTTTGCCGAGGATCAATCCGATCATCTCACGATCTTGAACGCCTACAACGGCTGGCAAGAGGCAAAACAAGCCGGAAGATCTTCCGAGTTTACGTTCACGCGCGAAAACTTCCTCTCATGGCGAGCTCTTGAAGGAATCGCCGACTTACGGACGCAGTTCACACAGCTTCTCAACGAGTCTGGTTTCTTAGCATCAAACGGTAAGAAGAAGCGAGATGGAGCGCGATATCGCGGGCGGCAGCGAGGCGCACTTTTGAAGACGGATCCAGAGTGGGTCAAGGCGAATCGGAATGCTGACAACAAACGCCTGTTGAAATCCATCCTGGTTGCCGGTTTGTATCCGAACTTGATCAAGGTGGAACCTGGATTCCGCGCAGACGCCCCACCGCGACTCACGTTTCTGGCTGAGAACGGGCGCACTGAAAAGATTCAGATTCACCCGTCGAGTGTTAATTTTGAGGCGAAGAAGTTCATCACGAAATGGCTCGTGTACCACGAGCGCGTTCAAACGACAGCCATCTACGTTCGCGACTGCACCGCCGTCACGCCGTATCAGCTCTTGCTGTTTGGAGGAAAGATAGAGGTTCAACACGCTCAAGGTACGATTAGCATCGACCGATGGGCGACGTTCCAAGCCCCCGCAAAAGTTGGCGTTCTCTTGAAAGAGATTCGTAACCAACTCGATCGAGTGCTGGCGACGAAGATTGAAAACGTCGGCAAGGACCTGGGCGAGCTCTCGGATCCGCTCGTCGCCACCATTCTAGAGCTCTTAAACGGTGAAAAGATCGCGAAAACGACGCCGAAAACGAATTGATTGTAGCGAAAACAAGTAGAAGTACCTAGCACTACATGCGCTTGAGAAGAACGCGACTGACGTCCGCCATGAAGTCGCCCGAGAACTTGGCGTAGAGCGTCCCGTTTGCCTTTGAGAACTCCTCGCGCGCCCGCGCTTCGTCGCCGTTCACCTCATAAAACAACCCTAAATACAACAACGAATAAAACGTATCTCCATCGGACCGCTTTCCAGCCTCTCTGAGCGCCGCCTCCGCCTCCTCCGTCCCCGTCTCGAAGAGTCGAAACACGCTCTTCATCACCGGGCGCGCATCCGGTCCCGTCTTCAACATCCTCTCTCGCGCCACCTTCACCCCCTTCGACGCATCCATCGCCTCGCTCGCAAAGCACCACACGCTCTCCTCCGTATCGTTCGGATTCAACGCCACGTCCTCCCGAAACTGTCTCGCCGCCGCGTCGTATTCGCCCTTCGCGTACAGCGCCAACCCGCGCTGCCACGCGCGCGCCCGATACCGCGCGTCCACCTCGATCGCTCGATCGAACGCCTCGATCGACCCCTCGACGTCGTACGCCGCGAATCGCTCCATCCCAACGCGCGTGAGCGCCCCCGCGCTCGGCGCCGCCGTCGCGCCCGCCCGTCGCCGCGCCCGTCGTCATCGCCGTGACCACGCTCACATTCACCGCGCGTCTGCGCACCGCGCGCGCGGTCGACGCCGACGTCGTCGACGGCGCGCTCGACGTCGACGCGCGCACCGCGGCGCGCGCGCGCATGCCGTGGACGTTCGCGCGTCGTGGAATGGGTCCACGGGGACTCCACGACGGGTCGTGACTCGTGAAAAACCACACCGACGGGCGGCACGGACCATTCGCCCCCGTCGCCGTCGCCGCGGCGCGCCACACCACGCCCCGCGCGCTCGAGCTCGAGCGCGCCGAGGTCGATCTTCCTCTCTCGCGCGCGCGGTCGCGCGATCGCGACGCGCGGGCGACGGGCGGTGCCGACGCGCGATGACGTCGGTGGGAGCGACGGCGCGGGGTCGGGTGACGCCAGCGACGCGCTCGATCGCGCGCGCGGCGCGCGGACGCGATCGACGCGCGGTGCGCGCGCGCGCCGTCGGTGAGGTTCTCCTCGACGTCGTGGATCTTCGCGCGAAAGTCGCGGAGACTGGGGAAGAGATTCTCCGAGGGGTGAACCTGACGATTCGCGAGGGCGAGACGCACGCGATCATGGGGAAGAATGGCTCGGGGAAGAGCACGCTGACAAAGGTGTTGGTGGGACACCCGGCGTATGAAGTGATCTCGGGGACGGCGACGCTGAAGGGGGAGGATCTGTTCGCGATGGAACCGGAGGCGCGCGCGCGGGCGGGGCTGTTCTTGTCGTTTCAGTCGCCGATCGAAGTCCCGGGGGTGTCCAACACGGATTTCCTGCGAATGATGTGTAACGAGCGAAGAAAGGCGCGGGGGGAGGAAGAATTGGATCCTCTGGAGTTCTACGGGTTTCTCACGCCGAAATTGGAGCAATTGAACATGGATCCAAGCTTTTTGACGCGCAACGTGAACGAGGGGTTCTCGGGCGGGGAAAAGAAGCGAAACGAGATCCTGCAGTTGGCGGTGATGGAGAGCGAGATGAGCATTCTGGACGAGATCGACTCCGGTTTGGACGTTGACGCGCTCCGGGACGTGGCCAAGGCGGTGAACATTCTGCGAGAGGGCGATAAGGCGCTCTTGCTCATCACGCACTACCAGCGCCTCCTCGACGCCATTCATCCGGACAAGGTGCACATCATGCAAAAGGGTCAGATCGTGCAAACGGGAGGCATCGAACTCGCGACTCAGCTCGAGGAAGGTGGCTTCGCGTCGCTCGCGAATTAAACGGCGACGCGTCGACGATCAAATCTCCTCGCTTCCTCGCTCGCGTGCGTGTCGCTAAAAGTCGTAGTCCAAAGTGCACTCACAATTTAAGACTTCAAATATCATTCATTGATCGCGAACGCGCCTAGAAGACCACCGCGATCTTCAAGTCAAAGTACAACAAACGAAAGTTGCCGATCAGTCGAGCGACCAGAGCTCGATGCGCGAAACTCTAAACATGTCAGACGACGCCAGCGGCGGAGAATCGAACGTCTCGCACTCGCCGCTCGAGCCCTGGAGCAAGTCTTCCTCTAAACGAATCGCATGCGCGCTTCCACCTCCCACGGATAGTGAATCCGCCGCACCGAGCATGAAATAATCGTTTTCACCGCTCCACGCGTACTTCATTCCCTCTGGAGCGAGCGAGAAGACGAAACTCTCACCTGTGCCGACGTAACGCGAGTGCAGTTTCCACGCCTCGGTACAAAACGCCCCAAATATGGCGCCACCGCTATCGCTCACGACGAGCACGGTATTTTCCTTCCCGCTCGACCGCCTGTACAGACTCTTGAGCGAGATGCCGTCCCTCTTGGTGCTGTACGTCAGCGTCCACTCTCGCATGCGACACATCGCCGGGAGCGCTTCTCTGAGCGTCTCCATCTGTTCCGCGCTCATGATATCGCTGCTCGCGCTCCTCTTGAGTTCGCTCTTGGTCACTCGCTCGCTCGTCGCCGCGAGCGCGCTCGCTCCTCTGCGCTTCCTTCGTCTCGCCTCGGTCTCCTCCGCCCGGACCTTTGCCCGCTCGCGCGCCTTCATCTCCACCTCCTCCGGCGTCTCATCCGCCATCGCCGCCGTCCACGACTTCAAAACCTTCCCCAAGAACCCATCGTGCCCGTCCTCCGCGCGTACCCGCGCGCTCGCCGCGGTTCCGTCTCGTCTCCGATACAACACATCCACCTCCGTCCCCCCCGTCGTCCCCTCGCGCGCCTCCGACGCCGCGACGACCCCTCGAAAGCTCTTACGCGTGATATCACTCAATTCATCGCTCCCCGGCGCGCTCACGGGCACCGCGCGCGCGTCGTCGCGCGACGGTCGACGAATGCGAACGTACGATTCATCCTCGTCGTCTTCATCGTCCGAATCTCCGAGAACGTCCCGCCAGAACGAGCCGAAAACTTCCTCCATGTCCACGCGCGCGCGCGCGTGACCGTGGCCCGCGAGTGGGCGCGCGCGCGACCTCGCGCGGCGGTGTGCGAGGTCGCGCGCGGCGTCGACGCGCGACGTGCGCTCCAACGGTCGGTGATAGGTCTATATGAACACGTACTACGACTCCATGTACCGGGTACTATTCACTTGAAAGCCATCACGGGCGTGGGAGCTGAACGGACGTTTTGTAACGCCTTCGAGCGACGCGGTCGGGCTCGGCGCGCGCGCGACGGGGGCGACGGGACAGTCGCGCGCGCGCGCGAGCGCGGCGGGCGTCGTCGTTAAAAACGCCGACGTCGTCGCGGCGCGACGCGCGGGCGATCGCGCGACGCGGGAGACGACGGCGTTGATTCTCGCTCGAGGAGCTGTTGATTTTTGCGCGCCGTCGTCGAGCGCGCGATGGAGTACGTCTCGGAAACCGCGCGGGTGACGACGCGGGAAGACTTGAAACGACCGTCGATCGAGGCGGCGCTGACGAAGGCGATGACGTCCATGTCGCCGCCGTCGGCGAGGTCGAGCGCGGCGTTGGACGTGGCGAGCGCGTGGGCGACGGCGCTCGCGTGCGAGTTCGCGTGGCCGGGCGTTCGCGAGGCTGGGCTCGGACGAGGGATCTGGGCGGGCGTGCTCGGCGCGGGTGCGATGCGATTGATTGCCGGATGGGACCTGTACGCGTCGCGGGCGCACGCGCTGGTGGACGTGAACGCGTTGGCCGCGGCGGCGGTGGACGCAGTCATGCGAGCGCGAGGGCAGACGCCGTTCGCGTTCGTTCGATCGATGATTCGACTCGCCCTTCTCGTGCGCGCGTGCGCGACGAGCGCACTGTGGTCGAGCAATGGATTCTTTCGTTCGTCCGAGTTCAAGCCCGAGAGCGGCATTCGTGGAGTGTTTCATCGTCTCGAGCACGCTGGAGCGATTAACATCGCTGTGTGCGTGAGCATCGCCGTTGTTTCCCTCGGCCCTACCACCGGAGCGCAGCATCACATTGGAGCAACGCTCTTAGAGAATGCGCTCGGATTGCGCGTCGAGGACTCGGACACTATCGAGCACGTGGAACAACTATTTGCTGCGGTGCTCACCACAGTGCTCTTCAACGCGTTGCTAAACGCGACCAGGCGCCGATTGCTAGGACGTCCACTTCAAGGGATAATCGAAACGCTGGAGTATCACGCCAAGCAGGTGTTCACAGATTTAGATATTCAAGCGAACGAGATACAGTCAATGGACATCAGCGTGTTGGGGTACGTCCTGGACAAGATGAGCCACATTGTGAAGCGAAACGAATCCGACAATGGGAGCTCGGCCTTGATCGAGGCCATTCTTGAAGATCACGACGACGTGGATGGAAGCACTCGTGAGTGGCTCGTGAGTTACAACGCAAGCATGATTAAGTCTACAGCGGCGTCAGCGATGCCAAAATCGCAGGTGAACACGTTCAAATCTTTCATCTCATCATTCGCTCGCATGTCCGACGCTTCGGGGCCTTACATGAGCGTCGACATCGTTGCTTTGAACTCTTGGTCGTTCGATGTCTTCGAAGTGAGCGACAGCATCTCGTGCATCATGCGTATGTTCCACGAGCTGAATATGTTTGAGCTCGTTGATCCGTTCAAGTTGCGACGATTCTTGTCTGAGGTAGAGAGCATGTACAGGGATAATCCATATCACTGCTTCAAGCACGCCTTTGACGTCGCGCACACGACGTATCTTTACATTCTCGCCGTGAAAGATCAGGTGGAAATGTCACAGTTGGAGATATTTTCGCTGCTCGTGGCCGCATTGGTGCACGACCTTGATCACCCCGGAGTCACGAATGCGTATCTCATTGCGACACGAGACAGCATCGCGATGACGTACAACGACGAAAGCGTGCTGGAGAACCTCCATCTCTCGCGTTTCTTTACCCTGTGTCAGAATAACGAAGACGCGAACATACTGTCTGCGTTCGATGAAGACACGTACAGCGTGGTTCGTCGCACCATCATCGGTTGCGTCTTGCACACGGACATGGCGCATCATTTCAAGCTCGTGTCGAGAATGAACGAAATGGTCTCCCTTGGGAGGAAGACAGAAATCATCAGATCCCCGATCGGATCTCCCATGTCGTCCCCGATCAAGTCGTGCGTCGTCCTCGACCGAGAAGGCGATCCTTCCGTCGCGGTGTCTTTCAAGACGGACGAGGAGCGCCAACTGATGCTGAACGTTCTCCTGCACTGCGCAGACATCTCCAACGCGGTCAAGCCAAACGAGCTGTGCGTGAAGTGGGCCTCGCGCGTGCTCGAAGAATTCTTCAACCAGGGCGACCGCGAGCGCGCCAAGGGAATGTCCGTGAGCCCAATGATGGATCGTGAGACCACATCGGTGGGGTTATCGCAGATCAACTTCATCGAGTTCGTCATCGCGCCGCTTTACGTACAGTTTGCGGCAATTTTCCCAGCCGTGAGTCATCTCTTGGATCGGCTCATCGAAAACCGACGATATTATCAGGAGACATACGAACGCGAACTTGCTGAGAGCACAGAAATTGACGGCGTCGAACGATCTTCTGCGAAAGAATCGCTTCGCATGCGATTTCGCACGCTCATCGAGAAGCACGGCTTGCATGCGCAAGCGGCCAAATTTGACGACGAGCTCACGCGTGCCATCTTGTCACTCCCTTTCGGTACTCCCGGGCGACGCACGAGTGGGAATCGACAACAGGGCTCCATGCTATCGTCTCCATCGACGAAGAGCAAAGCCGCTCGCCAACTCGCGGTGTGATCGTTCGTCGCGGCCGCGCGCGTGCCCGTTCGCATCCTCCGTTACAAAAAAGTCTGTTCATGTCACTGTCCTCGCAGTGTTACCTTTGACCACGCGCCGTCGCGTCTCCTCGGCGCCCATCGCCGCGTGAAATAACAACGCGCGTCGACGCGACGTCATTGAATCTTCAACATCGCCGCACCGTCCGCTCTCGCCCGTCGACGTCTCGAGGACGTCGCGGTCGTCCCGGTCGTCAGTCCACGCCTCGTCGTCGTCGTCGTCGACCATGTCGTCGTCGCTGTCGCCGCGTCCGCGTCCGCGACGCGCGCGACGATTCGACGCAATCGTCCGTGTCGACGACGTCGATCACGCGCGCGCGCGCTCGAACGCGCGTGAGACGGAGACGCGCGTCGCGATGAAATCAGATTTGGTCGAGCGCTCGAGCGATGATTCCTCGCGAAGCGACCGAACGAGTCGGAAGCGCGCGCGCGCGCGCGCGTCTTCGTCACCATCTTCGTCATCACCGCTCATGGCCTCGGACTCGGGTGCGGGCGCGGTGGAGGCGACGGCGGAAGCGCGAGCGACGGTTGGCGCGCGGCGACGCGACGCGACGCCGGAGGACGCCCGAGCGGCGACGAGGGAGCTCACGGTCTCGGATGCGTGGCGATCGACGTCCGGGGCGAGGGCGACACGAACACGAAGAGAGACGATGGAAAATGCGAGACGCGCGGCGAACGAGGCGCGGAGCGCGCTGCTGAGGACGTTGAGCGAGGACGCTCTGTCAAAGGTTTGCGACTTCTTGTCGGCAAAGGATTTGGCCTCGCTAGAGTGCACGAGCGCGTACTTTTATCGGCCGACGCGACGAAACGACCGTGGATTGGGAATATGCGAGAGAGCCGCCCGAATACGCGCGATTCGGGCGCCAATCGTGGACATGCCGCCATTCTATAGGTGCGACCTTTGGTCAATGCGTCTGGCGTTGACTCCATGACAAACGCGTCAAGCGAGTGACTGATCGATTCGTGAATCGCCCGCCCTACAGGAACGTCTCGTGGAAAAAGAAACTCAACATCACAGAGCAGCGAGAAAATCCGTTGACATCGCGTGAATTGTTCGTCGGAATGTGGGTGAGAGTGAAGCCCAACGTCGACTTTGTCAAGTGCATGTGCACGCAAGACGTCTTTGGATATGCGGTCGGTTGGGAGCCCGGCATGGAAGAAACGTGTGGAAAGTGCTACCGCGTGTGCATCGTGAGCAATGATTTCCGTTCAACTCCCGTCGTTGGGTTGTCGGTGGCGAAAGGTCTCGTCGCAATCACGCAAAGTACGACGCCGACGTATGGATGGTATTTTCCTTTCGAGGCGTTAACGAGAATTTAACAGTCAGTCGATGATGATGTATCGGTACCGGTACCACGTAGAAAGTGTAATAATTATCGCGCAAAACAAACTGGTTATGAATGCTACAGTCAAATGAAATTTCAACGCTGAATCTAAATTGTTTCCCCGAGAGCTTTCTCTTGTTGCGTCTTGAGCTGTACGACAAGCCTCCAGTCATCCTTGCTCAAATCGTCTCGGAATGACTCCTTCAGCGAGTCGATGGACTCACGTGTCATTCTCGAAACGAGTTGATCCTTATGATCAAAGTGACGGCCGTAAAGTCGAGAGGACTCGGAGGGCGTCTTCGGCTCGATCTTCATCGCCACGGACTGACCCGCTGTCGCCTGCTTGACTTCCTTGTGATTGAGCTCCATGGATGCAATCTTACCAATGTCGATGTATCCCTGCGATGGGATGCAAATCTGTGTGCCGACGCGCGCGATACCCTTCACAATATCCACTCCGACGATGATAGGATCACGCTTGTTGAATACACAATTCGGCATAATCTGCAAAATGCACGGGAAGTTGACGTGGTTGGCGGCTGCATCCTTCTTGTCCTTCTTCACCTTTTCCATGAAAGCAGTAAACTGATCGAACAAGTGGTAGATGATATCCGCCGTGAAGATACGCACGTTCAATTCGTCCGCCATCAAGGTAGCTTCCTTCGTCACCGGAACATCGAAGGCTAGAATGGTTGCATATTCTGGCCTCTTGCGCTCGTGCATCACGCTGGCACCCATGACGTCGCGCTTGTTCACCGGACCGATGGCGATACCAGCGACCGGAATTTTCACTGCATCCGACTTCAAGAATTCCAAAAGCGCCTCCAAGGAACCGAGCGTCGATGCTTGGACGTACACACCCTCACCACTCTTGTCAACGCGCGCGAGCACGCCTCTCATATCACTGAGCACTTCTTCTCGAAGTTCCTCTTCATCGTCTTGGGCGTCGAGCACCAAGAGCGACGTACCAGCGACAGCCTTTTCTAAGCCAGTGGCGACGATCTTGATACCCTGCGCGCCCTCAATTTCTTTGTGGTGAATGTAACTACCCTTCACACGCATCTCACGCATAGGTTGAGGCGTAAGTAGGGCACGAATCTGAGTTGTGATGGCTCCTTCTAGACCGGCGACGACAATTGTCTGACCCTCCTTGAGCTTGCCGTTGATTAAGATGACGTCCACGCTCGTACCCAAACCTTCGATCATCTTCACTTCGAGCACGGTGCACTGTACAGCCGGCACATACTGAATTCGTTCGTTCATGCGGTTCTGGCACAGGTCGACGAGAGTTTGCAGAATATCCGGCATACCCTCGCCCGTGATGGCGGAGGTCGGGATGATGTTGATGAATGTTCGCGGATCCGGGTTCTCCCAGTACTTCGCAACGTTCAACCCTTGTTCGGCGAATTCAATCACGATCTTGTCATAACGATCTTGGAACTCACGTTGGGCGTGCTGTTTCTGCAGCGCAAGTGTCTCCTGAGTGGGGAAGTTTGTGTTCTCCTTCCAGTCGTACATGCGATCGATCTTATTCAATGCAATGACGAATGGAGTCTTTCGCGATCGCAACATGTTCAAGGATTCGATGGTTTGCGGCTCTAAGCCGTGCATGATATCCACGACCAAGATTGCGAGGTCGCAAAGCGAAGAGCCTCTCGAACGCAGATTCGTGAACGATTCGTGACCCGGCGTATCGATAACGAGTAGACCTGGCACTCGCAAATTCCAATCTCCTTTGTTCAGCTGTGCCGTGCGTTCGATAAGAGACTCCTTCGGAATGAAAGTCGCACCAATTTGCTGCGTGATGCCTCCAGCTTCTCCGTCTTGCACGTTTGTTCGTCTGATGTTGTCCAAAATCTTCGTCTTACCGGTATCGACGTGGCCCATGATACATATGATCGGACAACGAAGCTTATTTGGGCTGCGCAGCGCCTTCGCTTTATCAAAGCGCGCCATACGAGCGGCCTTGGCCGCTCGCATTCGCTCTTCGCGCTCGCGTTCTCGAACGTCGTCACTATCTTCACTGTAGTCTGAGCTGTCCGAGTCCGAGTAGTCTGAGCTGTCACTATCGGAATCCTCATTGGAGTCAGAGTCCGATTCATCGTCCGAGTCTGAATCTTCCTCTTCAGAGCTAGAGCCCTCAGCCTGCGCCTTCGCGGCGGCCTTTGCCTTTGCCTCCTTAGCCCACGGCTTCTCTGCTGTGAGCTTAGCCCTGGCTACCTTCTTAGCTTCAAACGTGGCCGCAGCTTCAGCAGCCTGCTTTTCTTGCTCATGCCGCTTTTTCTCTGCGGCTTCCTTTTCCGCAGCTTCCTTGGCGAGACGTTCTTCTTCCTCCTTCTGACCTGGAAGGGCGATATCCTTCTCATCCCAATCCTCGGCGTCCCAGTCGTCGGCAACATTAGCTTGCGCCGCTGCTTCAGCTTCCGCGGCAAGTCGAGCTTCTTCCTCGGCCTTTGCCTTCGCCTGCGCCGCAGCATGTTCTTCTTCAGCCTTTCTACGGCGCTCTTCGAACTCAGCTTTTTTCTTTTTACGATCATCGTAAACCGGACGCTTCGGTTTGACAACCTCTTCGAGCTTGTCGGCGTCGATGCCAGCCTTGGCCAACATTTGTTGGCGCATCGCGGCCAAGCGCGCTTGCTCAGCCTTTTGCTTCGCGCTTAAGAGCTTGCCTTCAGCGCGGAGACGTTCCTTCTTCTCCTTCTCTTTTTGCTTCTTTGCCTCACGACGAGCTTCTTCCTCTGCTTCCTTCTCTGCCTCGAGACGCTCGGCTTCTTCAGCGGCGGCACGCGCTTCTGCTTCCGCCTTCGCCCTCTCCTCTTCGATCTTCTTACGCTTCTCCATCTCCGCTTGAAGAGCGAGGATTCGAGCGCTCGGAGCGCCAGCCTTCTTCTCCTTCTCCGCGTCAGCCTTTGCTTTGGCCTCCTTGGCTTCCTTCTCCTTTTGCTTCTTCTTTAGCTTCTTCTTCTGCGCCGCCGTGAGTTCTTTTCCGTCTTCGTCGTCAGCGTTGCCGTCGACGTCACCATCGTCGCCGTTATCCGCATCGGCGGGAGCCGCACCACCTTCAGCCGCTTCAGCGGCTTCGCGTTCAGCCTTCAATCTGCGCTTCTTCGCCGCCTTGCTCTCACCAGCTTCCTCCGCCGGCGGCTGTTTGACTTCAATACTGAGCTCGGCTAAAATTGCGTCAAGGTCTTCCTCATCTTCAGCAGGCTTTTTCTCGGCTTTTTTCTTCTTCTTCTTGTCCTTCTTCGAACTCGCCGCCGTCGTTTCTTCCTCGATGACCGGCTCCGGCTCTGGCTCCGGCTCGGGAGCCTTTGCCTTCTTCAAGTCAGGAGCTTCAGGAGGGACGAGGTCGCCAGCGGAGAACTGAGCAGAGTCGAGCTCAAAGACGCCATCGGCACTGTCCGCCCAGCCCATTTCAACAGCGCTAAGGATCATACCTTCGCTCATGACGCCGCGCAGCGGGGTCTTCTCAATGACTTGCCCGGTGGCCGGAATCTTCACGCCGACGCAGGCAAAAATCACCGTCAGACCCTTCTTAGCGTTCGCACCACCGCACACGCATCGCTTTGTCTCACCGTTACCGATGTCAACCGTGCAGACTTGCAATCGATCCGCCATCGGGTGCTTGCTGCATTCAATTATCTTGCCCACGACGAGTTCGGGTTCGGCTTCAGCCTTTTTCTTTTTCTTCTTCTTGAGATCGAGCGCGGCTGCGGCCTCTTCATCGGCGTCCATGAGCTCGGCGAAGCTGCCCTTCTTCTTCTTCTTTTTCTCCTTCTTTTCGGTAGGTCGCGACTCGGACTCTTCCTCGTCATCCGGCTCGTCGTCCGATCCCATGAGCGCGGCGAAACCAGACTTTTTCTTCTTATCCTTCTTCGGCTTCACCTCCACCTCCACCTCGTCCTCATCCATCGCCGCCGCCAAGGGATCATCGACATCATCATCGTCCGAACCCATGAGCGCGGCGAATCCTGACTTTTTCGCCTTCTTCTTATCCTTCTTCGAGCTCGGTTTCGGCGCCGGCGGCGCTTCGTCCTCCTCGTCCTCATCCATCGCCGCCGAGAGCGGATCCACAACGTCGTCCTCTTCGTCCGATCCCATGAGCGCCGCGAATCCACCCTTCGCGCTCTTCTTCTTC